CCTGTTGCCTGCCACTTTCCACAATGAGTAGAAGCAGCCTGAGGCCTGTGCCAGATGCAGCTGTCCCAGAATCATAAGCCAAAAAAACCTCTGCTCTTTATAAATTACCCAGTCTCAGGTATTCTGTTACAGCAACACAAAACATACTAATACAAGGTCCCCAAATGGAAGATTTTAAATATTTCTACTGAATTTTTACCTGTAATGGGGNAAGTTAAAGGAGATCTCCTTATAATGAAATTCCAAATAGATCCATTTCCATAGAAGATGGAGAAAAATAGACAATTACATTCCATATATGTAAGTCACAAATACACAGGCAGAATTCTGATGAGCCATGTCCTGGTTAAACTTGCTCAAGCATATCCGCATGTCCCCAGTAATCTGGAAATATGCATCCTATCGACTGTATAATTAATGATTCCCTTTAATAAAGCCTGCTTCAGTTCTCCCCCCAGGCCCACTAGAGTCTCCAGCAACACATTTCAGTGGGAGTTCTCAGATTTTCAAAAAAATCTTCTTTTTATAGAGAATGTACGCAATGAGCACCCAGAGAGCAGTGGCGACTATGTTCTGAGTTAGATGTTCTTTGTGTGACTGGTTATCCTCCAGCTTCCACTGAAAGGGAAAGTAGTTCTGAAACACCTCGTGGCCGACATACACCAGAATAGAATTCATTCCTTAAGGAGAGACACAGAAGACAATGGTTTTCCTAAGTTACACATGGTCATCTATTTAATTCTTGAAGTTAGTTCAGTGAAAAAACAAAAAGCATGCACTCACATTATTGGCTACTGCCAAAAAAATAAGTGATACAGATCTTGTAAGTAAGTGTAAACTATATTAAAAATTATTAGAAAAGATTCTTTCTGTAACAATGTAATTCTTGAATACTAAATCTGAAAGGAAAACTAAAATTATTAACATATTTTCTAGACAGAAAACTGGAGGTCCAAAGAATGTAACTTTTACTAGAATTAAAGGGCTGAAATGAATCATTGAAATTACCTAGTCTATCTCTCAGTCCTTGGGTAGAACTGCATCTAAGTCATTCCATTTATCTTTTGATTTCACCTCTTGATATTTCTTATAATGCCTAATCTTTAAGGTAGTGCATTTACATTAAGAAAGAAAGCATAGTTCCATTTATTAAGTATTAGAACCTTGATAATATGCCCTGGATCATTTCTGATACTCTAAAATTTGGTAATGCCTGAAGCAACAAGTGGGTCTCATAAGCTGTTTCAACCTAAATGGGTAAAAATGGGGTGGACTGCTTCAGAACAGCAACGGTGCTGTGAGACCCGTGACAACAGGCCCCTACTGCCTTCTCCCTCAGCTTGTTTTCTGGAAACATGCCACCAGGGAAGTGACTTGAGTCCCAGCACTGAGGACGCTCAGCAGGTCTCTGGGCCAGTCCACGTGGTCACCATCACCACCTGTTTGGGGTTGGAGGTGACTTACCTGGATAGAAGAATGGGGTTCCTGTCCACAATCCCCTGACATCCACAACCGGGTACAGGATCAGCATGATGAGGAAGGCAAAGGAGCTCAGCGTGGTGACATAGGAAATGGACCTGGGAAGAGGTAAACACAGTGTCCTGCTGCCCATTTCAACACTGGAAAACATCAACATTAAAATGACACTTTTTTCTATACCTACCAGAGATTTTTGTTTACTGGAATAAAGCCTTCATTTTCAGAAATTTTGGTCAATGCAACAGAAATAAGCCCCTATAATGGGAAGGGGAAAGATATTAAAGTTTTATATTATCTCAAAAAACAATTGTGTTTCATGATCAAAAAATATCAGCTATTTAATTGCTTAGGGAGGGCTTAAAATTGTGCCTTATGTTTTACTCTTTTTTTTTTTTTTTGTCTTTTTCGTGACGGGTAGGGGGATCAAAACCCTTGGTGGGGGGTCGCCCGCACGGCGCTCAGCCAGTGAGCGCACCGGCCAGTCCTATATAGGATCCGAACCCGCGGCGGGAGCATCACCGCGCTCCCAGCGCCACACTCTCCCGAGTGCGCCACGGGGGCGGCCCTATGTTTTTACTCTTTTAACTGGAAACATATTTTTAATATGCATAACTAACAAATATTCTCCAAAAATACCTTGTCACATTCCTCTGAGTTGAAGAAGGTAAACTAATCAATAAATTAGAGTGAATCCTGTAGGAAACATGATTGCAAGTTCAGGCGTAAAATGCACAGTCAGTCAACCTCGCAGTTCTTTTTTCACATATGAATCTGGAAGTTGATGTATGGAAACCTGTTATTATTTGCCTAGACTTTCTGATTTGGCTCCCTTCACAGAATCCATACCTCCCACATTTCTTCAGGCATTCCTGGATGGATGTTTGACGGCAAACATTGTCTTATTTATAAGGACATTTTCCTAGTAAAATAAACCTGAGAATTTAAGTGTAAAGATTTGTTCTTCTGTTAGTTAAGTGAAGAATGTTACCTGCTGCAATGTGGTAACAGCTATGATACCAGTGTGGCTAAAATTTTATTTCTTTTTAAATGTGTTTATGTGTGAAGAAAAGGAATTTTATTGAGGAACAGTGGTTACTCACTAGAATACAACACCAGGCAGTGAATCTGATCAGGATGTCTTTGGTCTGATCCTTGTAATACAACAGTATTTTTCCTGCCTGGAGAAGAAAACAGATGACCAAGAGAATCACCTAAGACGTTCTTATTTCATCCACTGTCTTAATCACTCAACAAACAAATACATTTGCTGGGCATGCCACTAGATACTGAGATTATACGGAAGAATGACACACTACCCCTGGCCTCGTTTAGTGGAGACTGAGAGAGGAACACAAGACCAAAAGATGAAGCACGCACTCAGGGAAGGAGGGAGGTGGCAGAGTCAACAGGCACAAGATGACCCAGGCAGGAAGAGCGCTCTGAGCGTAACGGAACAGCACACAGACGCACGCCAGGGACAGCGAAGAAGCGCGGTGGTGCCTCCGAGGTGCTGGGGGTGACTCAGGAGGGCTGGACGGTGGGAAGGGCAGACAAGGGAGGAGGCAGGGTGGCTTTGTGGGTCTCACTTCAAGTCAGGGGCTTTCTTCCATAGGTCTAAGGAAGCCAAGGATAACTCCCCCCAAAAGTGACAAGGGACCAGCTCAGACTGTCCTGCTAGATGGCCCAGTCTGGCAGCACTGTGGAAGAGGAACAGGGACAGGGTGGAAGCGGAGGAAGAAAAACACTTTTAAAACAGTCAAATATGAACTCTGTAGAAAATATTTTTTCTGAAAACATGAAAGGATAAAGAGTTAATAATGTACTAACGTATTCTAGGTGCCAGTTCTTAGAATTTGACACAAATTAACTTACTGAATCCTCACAACACCTTTATGAGAAGTAGGTGCTGTTGAAACACAGAGTCAAATAACACACCCGAGGCTGCCCAGCTAGTAAGTGGCAGAGCTGGATTCAAACCCAGGTAGTGCGGCTCCAGGTCCTCACCTGCAATCTCTGCCTGGGCAGACTGCTCTGGCAGGCAGATCTGCCCACAGAGCATCTCAGGGACTAAATGAATATATGTAAAAGCACAATACAAACTATAAAGTACTATAGAGATAAAGGCAGTGTTTCTAAATAATGTATAAAATTATTTTATCACTGAAATGTATATGCTTTAGATCTGCACTAGCCACACATGACTATTTAAATTATAAATTAAATAAAGTTAAAAATTCAGTTCTCAGTCACACCAGCCACATTTCAAGTACTCAAGAGCTAACCTGGCTTGTGGCTGCCCCACTGGATAGCACAAAGAATATTTTCATCACTGCAGAAAGTTCCATAAATACCGCTTTACAAGTTTTTCCCCCTCCCAGTTACCTCCCTTCAAACAATAGTTTCAAAAAATCCAGACTGCTCAGAATTTTAATAAAATTGCACGACATAAACCAAGGACAACCTGTATTGACTTTGGCATGAAATATGCATACCGAGAAGCCATGTAAAGTGTACCAAATGGTTTGAATCTACGTGCCCCTCCAAAATTCAATACTGAAACCTAATAACCAAGGTGATGGTATTAGAAGGTGGGGCCTCTGGGAGGTGACTATGTCATGAGGACTCTGCATTAGCGAATGGATTTAATGCTCTTACAAAAGGGCTTGAGGCAGTGAGTTTGGTCTCTTTGCCCTTCCACCTTCCCCAATGTGAGGACATGGCCTTGGTCACCTCCAGAGGACACACGTCCAAGGAGCTGTCTTGGAAGCAGAAACCAGACCCTCATCAGAGAGCAAAACTGCCAGTGCTATCACCTTGGACTTAACCAGCCTCCAGAACCATGAGAAATAAATTTCTGTTCTTTATAAGTTACCCAATCTCAGTACTAAGTGAAAAATCAATAATCATAAACTGTCAGAAAAATGTATCCTAATGAAATGAACAAATACCTGAACTCCTAAAAAGGCCATCACAATGGAGTTGATGGTCCCCAGGATTCCTTCTGGATCATAGGCCACCTTAGTGTGATAAAGCACCTTAATAAAACAGAAAAAGCAAGCAATATTCACTGACCACAAAAATGTGCACAAACAGCTTTTAGAGTAGTCACAAACTTGAATGCAATCCAGTATTTAATGTTTTTTGGCTTTTACTCCAGGAATTTATTGCCAACTTAGGGGGATTATAGGCAGAATACTTCTGGCCAAGAAAGTGTGCAGTGTGTAACACTTCAAAACAAACACAGAGAACCGACCACAGGGCAGACCTCTGGTCCTGGTGGCTGCCCAATTCATGATTGTTCTTTGCTCAGTTAAACTTTGTTTAAAAAAAAAAAAAAAAAAAAAAAAAAAAAAAAAAAAAA